TCTTTTACTTTTTGTTACAAGATGAATCTATTCAGCTGAAGAGCTGAAGACATCGGATCGGAGCCCGAAAAGAATGTGGCTTTTATCTGATTCAGTCAATAAACTCTGCTATTATACTAACAATACTGAGAACTTTTTGTAAAACTTGTAAAATGTAAAAGAACGAAACAAGGAGAACAATGCTAACAACATCGTCTTGAAGCAGCCATTTTCTCAAGTCGCCTAATCTCATTAACATCAAAAAGTCTTTTTAAAATACTGTACAATCATTTTAAGAGCTTTTTTTTAGTTTATTCAGAAATTATTTGACAAAGTAAACTGAATATGATATTAACAACACTAAGAATTTTTTGTAAAATGTAAAAGAACCAAACAAGCAGAACAATGCTAACAACATCGTCTTGAATCTATAAAAATCTTTGCAAAGCATTTGTTAACAACAATTTTTCATTTCTTTTTTTCTTTTAAAACCATTTAAGCACCAAAAGTTACATTTTCTCTTTTAATACTTCTGATCCCGTTTGAGATTGAGAATTTAAACGATTCATTTAAACAAACGATTCATTTAAACAAACGATTCATTTAAACAAACGATTCATCATTTTAAAAACAGATTCCGTTAGATGATAGCCATTATCAAAATGTAATAATTGAGTCCTCTCATCATAGGTTTATTTGTTTTATTGCCATTGTCATGAATTGCCAGTTTTGAGTGAATTTTTTGAATAAATAATTCTGGATTACATCATAACTTTCCACTAACCAATAAACGATTCAGCAATTGGATAACAATTGGAAGAACTTCGATCTTCAAACTTCGCAAGGAATTGAGGGTTTTTAAAGACATGGATTCTGGCTAACATTTTCCTGGAGCAAAATTGTCTCTTTTGAGTGACCAAAGACGGGCTCAAATTCCTCAATTTTGAATGCATTTCTTCAATTTCTTTAATATAAATGTTTGAATTTATATTATCGAAATATAATAATTGAGTCCTCTCATCATAGGTTAATAATCGATTTGTTTTATTGCCATTGTCATGAATTGCCAGTTTTGAGTGAATTTTTTGAATAAATAAATCTAGATTACATAATAACTTTCTGGCCAATTTATTTATTCAAAAAACTCACTCAAAACTGGCAAATTAATTTTTGATCGTAAAATTATATCCAATCAATATTGCTGAATCGTTTATTGGTTAGCGGAAAGTTAAGATGTAAGCTGTAAGCGATCAAAAATGAATTGCCAGTTTTGAGTGAATGTTTTTTGAATAAATAAATCTAGATTACATCATAACTTTCTACTAAAAAATAAACGATTCAGCAATATTGATTGGATAGAATTTTAAGCATTTCTCAAAAAAGATTTTCATTCTTTTCCATACAAATCCTTCATAATACTCTTTAATCTAATATTTTTTTCTTCAAAATCTTTCAAAAAACTCACATCAAACGGTCGAACTTTCGCTGGACACCTTTTTTGTTAAAAACAAAATCGAGGATCCTGCTGTGTGTTTGGTGGGACCATCAGGGCATTCTTCAACAAAAAAAACAAGAAAAACGAAGGAAAATCGCGAAAAGCGGCGGAAAGGCTATTGATCTGAGGGTCGCTGGTTCGACTTCCACCGGTGACAATGTTTTTCAAAAATTTTTTGCTAAGATTCTGAAAATGCGTGTCTAGGGGTTATTTTTGACGCTGATCACGAAACACATGTTTTTAGCCTAGGTTTCTGCACGGAAAACTAACGAAACGTGAAAACAGCCATTTTTTTTGGCTCTGCCGCCCTTTACTAAAATAGCTGTAAAAACTTTTAGAAAAGAGATATCTCAAAACGGTTTTTACCAATCGATCCGTCTTGAATTCAGCTTTAGGATGAGCTATAAAACGTCAAAATTGGACAAGTTTAAGGTACTCTCCCAAAAAATCGGAAAGGACTTTTCCATCAACCCAATACTTTGATAAATCCTCTCCTTTTTTTAATGAATCAAGAAAACGATTCATTATCAATTTTTCTTCAAATCTGCACTCAAATGGTTGTTGAGTTTGAACGAAAGCTTTCTTTCCGAATAAGCTGAACAATTTTTAAGCGAAAGATTAGTTTGATCTATGTCTGATATTGTGAATTCCTTTCATATATTCATCGGCAATTGTATCATTCTCTCCTTGGAATGGTTTCAAATCGTGTGACTCTTTCTCGTGGTATCTGTGATTTCTAATTTCTAATTATAATTAATATAAGAATTATCAACTTTTCCAAAACAATAGCTTTTGATTCAATCACTAATACTCTACTAATCACTAACTTTGCCATTAAAAACACATAAGGCTTTAGTTTTTCTAGAAATGACATCAAAAATTGAGTTCACTCTGAAATTTGATGAATTTCGCATACTAGTTTCAAAAAAAGCTGTGGTTCAAACTGTATTTTGGCTTCATTTTCCGGTATTTTGGCTGTATTTTGGTTGTATTTTGGGTCAATTTTCTTGTAAAATATTCAAAATAAAACTTTCTCTGTAGTCTCACAAATTCTCTGTAGCCATGAGCCGTGAATTCCAAACCTTGTAGGAGTTCTGGGCAAAAAGATGCATTTCGGAGACAGCATTTTTATAGAAATACCGTATTTTCTCTAATAGTAGTGCACCCTGAGCGTAGCCTAAATTCCTCAAAATCTCAAAAAGCGCTTATCAGAACCTATCGATGTGGGGTCGGAAAATGTAGCTGACGATGAGATCTAGTGAGGGATTTGAGTGTTGAGCTTCTGTGAAAACTTGGAAACCGTAAAATAGTCATCAACTCGGCTCGCCGGGGTGCACTACTATTAGAGAGAATACGGTAACCATTAATCGATTGAAAATTTTTTTAGCAAGTTGTTTAGCAAGCACGCCACTCCAAAGAGGAAACCGACGAATTTGAGAAGATCCTAGGGATAATTTTCAATTTGGTATTTAGCTGTATTTTCCCTAATAATAGTAAACCTTAAGCTTGCCTAAATTAAATCTCAAAAATCTCAAAAAGCGCTTATCAGAACCTATCGATGTGGGGTCGGAAAATGTAGCTGACGATGAGATCTAGTGAGGGATTTGAGTGTTGAGCTTCTGTGAAAACTTGGAAACCGTAAAATAGTCATCAACTCGACTCGGCTGGGTGCACTACTATTAGAGAAAATACGGTATACAGTTGGCCAATGATGATATCCAAGAACGGCTAGGACAACAAAAGCTCGAAGAAGTGACGCATCTTCACGGAATTCTTTTGCTAGAAAGATTTAGATTATTTAAATCCTTTTAGAAATTGTATAAAAGTTAATGAAGCTTTTCAATCCTTTCAATTCAAAAAAGAATTCTTTCTTTCTCTTTTGGAATTCTTGAAAAACAGTTCTTTATGGTTTTTGAAAGTTTTCTAATGATTATAAATGAAAATTGATAAAACAGACGATTTAATCACCGCGATTCCATCTCGCGATTGGCGACAATAAGCTTTTTGAACTGAAGATTTACTGGTAACCAGATTCAGCTAATTAATTCAAATCGCTTTTTCCCAAGCCTGGTAATAGGGCAATAATATCTTCAGCGTTATCTCGTTTTTCCAAAAAATGGTAGTCGATTTTTGAATTCATAAGTCTAACGTTAAAATTGAGGTAACTGACGATGAGTTGGGTTTGAGTTTGAGACAAGGGCATTTGTGTGAGGGTTTTAGAATCAATATTAATAAATAAAAATAGAAATTAATTGAAAGTGTGCCACGCAAGAGTCCTTTGCTTCCAAGAATAGCTAAAATTTCAAAAAACGATCGTCTAGCCAATTTTTTTTTCAGATTTTTACAAGGATTTCGTTTGCTTTTCTGTTCTTTTTTTGTTTAATGTTTGTTCATATTTTTGAAAGCTTTATGTGCTAGTTTCATTTTTAAATTCAAATAGCTTCGTAGATCAAGGTTCCACGGGTGCAGTGATTCTAACAAAGAGTACCGTATTTTCTCTAATACTAGTGCACGCCGACGAGCCGAGTTGGTGACCATTTGACGGTTTCCAAGCTTTTGCAGAAGCTCAATACTCAAATCCCCTACAAGATCTCATCGTCAGCTACATTTTCTGACCCCACATCAATAGGTTCTGATAAGCGCTTTTTGAGATTTCGAGGAATTTAGACGACGCTCAGGGTGCACTACTATTAGAGAAAATACGGTATATAAAGCAGACTTCCCGGTTCATTTTTTACTGTAACAATCAAAAATTAGTTACTATATCGTCCCTAATAGTAGTGTCGAGTTGATGCCTATTTTACGGTTTCCAAGTTATCCCAGAAGCTCAGCACTCTAATCCCCCACTAGATCTCATCATCAGCTACATTTCGCGACCCCACATCGATAGGTTCTGATAAGCGGTTCTCGAGATTTCCAGCAATTTAGGCAAGCTTAAGGTTCACTATTATTAGGGAAAATACAGCTAAATACCAAATTCAAAATTATCCCTAGGATCTTCTCAAATTCTTCGGTTTCCTCTTTGGAGTGGTTTGATTGCTAAACAACTTGCTAAACAAATTTTCAGTCGATTAATGGTTACCGTATTCTCTCTAATAGTAGTGCACCTCGCCGAGCCTATTTTACGGTTTCCAAGTTTTCACAGAAGCTCAACACTCAAATCCCCCACTAGATCTCATCGTCAGCTACATTTTCCGACGTCAGCTACATCGATAGGTTCTGATAAGCGGTTCTCGAGATTTCGAGGAATTTAGGCAAAGCTTCCAGTGCACTACTATTAGAGAAAATACGATGATATGCGGTGTTTCATAGACAATCATAATCTCTTTTTTTTATTCAATTAATTATTCAAATTATACAATTATACACTTTTATTCGCTATAAGTCACTTTTTTTCTTTTAATATTTCGAATTCCATTTGTAATCGATGCACGAAATGCTTTCTCCATCATTTTAAAGCCAGATTCTGTTAAATGACAACCATTGTCAAAGTATAAGAACTCTGTCTTTACGTCAAATGTCATTAATTGATTTCGCTTGCGATCTGGAAAGAGAAAAATATTAGTTGTTTGTCGCTGATTGAAAACTTACCAATAAACGATTCAGAAATGTCAATTGGATGACATTTCGGGCATTTCTCAAAGAGAATTTCCATTCGTTTAAACACCGATCCTTCATAATATTCAGTTCTCTGAATTGAGAACATTTCTCAAGTTATATTTTCAATTTCTCACATTGAATGCCCGATTGAAATTTGTTAAATCCTCTCCTTTTTGCAATGAGTCAAGAAAACGATTGAGAAGTAGAAGCTCTTTTCCTTTACACTCAAATGGTTGATGAGTTTGGAGAAAGATCTTCTTTGTGTATAAACTATAAATAGAATATATTATTGAATCCTTTTTTTGAGTCAAAAAGCTAACAGTTCGAAAGGAGATACCTGATATTTTGAATTCCTGCCAAATAATCAGCTAAAACTGTGTCATTCTCTCCTTGAAATGGAGATAAATCTCTGCGGTGATACCTGTAAATTTAGATTTGAAAAATAGGTTTAAAGGTTTGGTTTTTTTTCTGTTATAAATCCGCAAAATTGGCATCCTTCCATAAAAGTGAACAAGGAAAACCACAGAGAATTTATTCCTTTGCTATTTCCTGACGGTGAATTTATGTTTCGTTTAACGACTACGTTTACCGGCCTCGGCCAATGCAATCACGTTCTTTCAACAACAACAACTTCCTTGCATTCGCACATGCGCCAAACATCACTTTATGAAGCGATCGCTCAATAAAAATCTCTAATAGAGATGTGATAAAACGGCAGTGATGCGGCGTGCTGGCTGCATGGATGGAGGACACCAAAAATCCATTTCTCACAATCCTTGATCTATGGATGGACTTGGATCGACTATGGATCTATGAATGGTGGTTCTTGATCGAATATTGTGCGAAAGAATTGGAGATGAATCACATGGATTCCTCATTGATCCTATTTTGATTAAATTGATTGATTTTTGTTTATTAAATGATTAGGGGTTATTTTTGCGGATGTATAACGGAAAAACAGACGTTATGAAGCTAGCGCTCAATAAAAATCTCTAATAGAGATGTGATAAAAAGTCGCGCCGGACAGTGATCGGCCTGCGTGTTGGCTCATGAATGGAGAACACCAAAAATCCGTTTCTCACAATTCTTCATCTATGGATGGGCTTAAGAATGGTTCTTGATCGACTATTGTGCGAAAGAATTGGAGATGAATGGGATGAATCACATGGATTCCTCGTTGATCTTATTTTGATTAAATTGATTGATTTTTGATTATTAAATGATTAGGGGTTATTTTTGGGATGTATAACGGAAAAACAGACGTTGTGAAGCTAGCGCTTAATAAAAATCTCTAATAGAGATGTGATAAAACGTCGTGCTGAACAGTGATCGGCCTGCCTCTTGGCTCATGAATGGAGTACGCCAAAAATCCGTTTCTCACAATTATGGATGGACTTAATAGTGGTTCTTGATCAATATTGTGCGAAAGAATTGGAGATGAATCACATGGATTCCTCATTGTTCCTATTTTGATTAAATTGATTGATTTTTGATTATGAAATGATTAGGGGTTATTTTTGCGGATGTACAGCGCTGGACAATGAAATATGATATTTGAAAAACGATCGTCACTTTCGCGCGTCTGTAACTCCCTTGTCTTTGAGTTTAAACTATTAGTGTTATACATTTTCTGAAAGCTCTTTTCAAGGGCTACACAATGGTAATATTAATATTTAGAAATACGGTAAAGACAAGGGAGTTACAGACGCGCGAAAGTGACGATCTTTTTTTGAGATATGATATTTCATTGTCCAGTAGTTTATAACAGAAATGTAATGTACAGAAATGTACCAAAGTTTTGAAAAAAACTGTATCAAAAGATTTAAAAAATAAAGCTTTCAACCCGTAAAAAGGTTTGTAAAAGAAAGCTTTTTTCATTTCAAATCATAAGCTTCACCTTGCCAAGATGAAAACATAATCCGGTTGAATTTTCTTCAAAAAAGACATCAAATATGGAATTTGTTCTGAAATTTGACTTTATAACTTCAAAAAAACTTCAGGAACAAACTTTGCACAACATCTATGTGAGTATGAAGTGGATAAGTGTAGGCTGCTTGAGTGAAAAGATGCATTTCAGAGACGTTTTCTCGAGGAAAGTACTCTCGTACTATCTAAAAATAAAGTCAATCTTTGTCAATATCAGGGGTAGGCTAGTTTCCGCAACTTTTTTTGCATCGTTTGCGTCGTCGTCGTTTGCGCAGTTCGACATAACTTTCTTCTAAGTGGACCAATATTCATGATGTTCGTTTCATTTTGTTGCACTTATTGAGATCTACAAAATGACACTAAAATCATAAATATTGGTCTACTTAGAAGAAAGTTGCGAGTTGCGCAAATGATCCTGTTGCGGAAATTAGCCTACCCCCAATATCATTTAATTTTCTTTACTTACATGAGCCTGTTGAGCTGCCCACGAATTTCCAATAATCACAACTTTCAAATCTTTTCCAGTGTTTCCCTGCAAGTTTTGAAAGATAAGAATTGATTGATAAGATTGATTTGAGAGATTTTGATTTTAAACCTCATAAACATAATGTCCCCATGGTGGATGTTGCTTCAGAAATCCATCATCAACATAATGCCCTCCACTTATCGGATATATTGACGTCAGAAATTTCTTGTTCTCAGTGATTGCTGCACTTTGACCTAAAGAAGAGAAAAGTGAGGGTTTATTGTGTTTATTCATGTGTTTATCCATGTCTTTTACTCTAATAAAACTGACCACATTCAGGATGAACAACCATTTCCCATTTCAATCCAATCAGCAAACAAAACAAAATATATTTCAAAGTGACAAGAGAAATGTTTAATTTTCCAACTCGGAGAAGCGGTTTTTCATAGAAATGATGCATAGGAATGCTGATCAGAACTGTGAGTGCAAGTGCGATTGGAGGAGCTAAAAATTTCGATTTTTTTTGGGATAATTCATGTGCTTACCATAGACAGGTGCATTGTAATACTCTTGAAGATATTCAGCGAAACGGAGAACCGGATAATGAACCAAATATAGAGCATATGAAATGGCTGAGATGTAGGTGAGATGGAAAGATGACCAAGGGATTGTGCTAGAAATGTTAGAGATTTTCGAGCTATAATACTTAATGTAGAGGTTAGATGTGTTACGTCCGATCTAGAGTGAAGGTCAAAGGCCCGCTCTAGAATCAAGCCGATTTGTAGATCGGACGGATTTCTAGATTGGATAGATTTCTAGATCGGACGGATTTCTAGATCGGACGGATTTCTAGATCGGACGGATTTCTAGATCGGACGGATTTCTAGATTGGATCGATTTCTAGATTGGATGGATTTTTAGACTGGATGGATTTTTAGATCGGATGAATTTCTTGATCGGACGGATTTCTAGATCGGATCGATTTCTTGATCGAACGGATTTCTTGATCGGACGGATTTCTTGATTGGACGGATTTCTTGATTGGACGGATTTCTTGATCGGGCGTAGCAGATATACAGGATAACAAAAGCTCAGAGCCAGTTTTTTGGTCAAATTCACCTTTTAAGACAATAGAAAACTATCCAACGCTGAATATTCTTATAAAAGAATGTAATTATAGCAAGTTTATGGTAAATTCAAGCCTTTACAAGCAAAGATTAAGTCTTTTAATTGACGATATCGCTAAAATCAACCTAAATCTCTGGTCGCCTCATTTCTCTCAAAAACTCTCTGAATTTTCGGAGATTTCTAATTAAACATAGTTAGACAAAAGCAATTCTATTTTTTAAATTCTTTCTAGACGAATTGCAAAATTTCAGATTCATTGAAGCTGAAAAGAAAAACTTATAGCTCTAAAAAGTTGGCGAGTCGTAATCGGAAGTTTTAACCGTTCTTTCACTTAAAAAAGTACTATGAGAAGGTTCTGTTCTTGCGGAAAAAAAGGTTTTCTAGACCAAAATTTCATCTAGATTTCGAATTTCTAAACCGTTTTCTCTTTTTGACCCTAAAAACTTGGCTTTCTGTTGGCTCTGAGCTTTTGTGTCATCCTGCAGTATTCTGCTAGATCTAATCAACTGTTAAAAGCTCAACTCTAGCAAAAAATAGTTAAGATTTCTTACCTGTTCACACCAAAAAGTATATAACCAGCAGAAGAGACGGTGATTATTAATTGATGAATGCTTGGAGGAGCCACTTGTGGAATGAATGGAAGAAATATAAATGAAGTTATAATGAGTAAAATGGCTGAGAGAATGTTTGAATGAGATGGAATTATTGCTGAAAAATCTTTAACATTTAAATCTTTTTCATGATTACTTTACTTGTTTTAACTTTTTCTGTGTACATGGCAACGAATCCACCGCAAAGGAATTGCCAAACTCTTGAGAATGGATTGTAGAATGAAGTGATTGGTTGGGAATTGAATTGAAAGAATAGTGATGAGAGCAGACAACCAAATAAAAGAAAATGACCTAGTTTCAAATCTAAAAAGAGTCTCATTAACAATTGTAGATTAACTCACTGGAAATGCTAATCTTTGAGATGAAAAATAAAAGTGGAGCGATGAGATAATATTGCATTTCAACGCCAAGAGACCATGAGTGAAGGAAAGGCAATTTTTCTGTATTCTGAAAGTTTTATTTAGTTTTATACTATTGAGTTGGTGAATTGAAAACTGCGGGACTTTGAACTAAAATTTATTCAAGATAAAACCATGAATTCATTCCAAATAATTTCCATTAATATTGACGACTTCTGCCCATTTTACAGGCAATTTCCGGATTCCTCTTTCGTAGTAGGATTTTGGTTTTGAATCGAAAAACTTCCAAAGCCAATTTTTGACTGCTTCTTCCGAATCGAAGTGTTCTCTCGCAAGCTCATTACTCATGATTCGGAATAAATAGTAATCAAAAGGGGCGAGGTCCGGGCTGTATGGGGAATGCGCCAAAAGTTCCCAAACAAGGCTATTTATTTTAGAGCGACTCAGTTTTGCAACGTGAGGGCGCGCGTTGACGTGGAGGAGAACGATCTTTGACTTGGATTTTGGTTTGTGTGTGAGACAAGTGTGAGACTCAAAAATGGAGGACTGGAGATGTCCCAGTTTAAGCACTTTCTTCAAAACAAACCCATTTTGGTGTCAATAGAAAAGTTGTAGAGAATCAAAAATTAGGCTTATAGCCAAATTTCCAAAAAGATACACTTAGTAGTTTCGCTTAAAATGCAAGTTTTGTGAAAATTCGTAAATTTGGCATTTCTTGAAAACCAGTTTTTGAATCGTTCTGAAAATTTGGATATAAGCTTGATTTTTGATTCTCTACAACTTTTCCATTGACACCAAAATGGGTTTCTTTTGAAGAAAGTGCTCAAACTGTCACATATGACAATAGCCCGCAGTTTTCAATTCACCAACCCAATATTTTCAACTTAAACAATACATTTTCCCATTCCTCACCTCAGCAAAATAATCCCCATCCGCTTTCAGCAATTCTAGATTCGAATAGAAAAATATGGCTCCAAAATAGAAACCGAAATATTGCTTTGACCAGATTGATGTATAAACAAACATCATTGAAAAACCTATTTAATAATTAGTTTTGAGTTTTAATTTTTAAAAAAAACCTATCATAAACATAATCAAATAATACAATGGCACCAATCTTTTTACTCGTCGATAGTAAAAATTTAGAGTAATGCTATAAAATCGATCATTTTCTGCTTGCTCCAAAATCTGTATCATTAAGAATCCAGAAATCACAAAAAAGCTAAACATTTCATTTAACAATTTACTAAAAATCACTCACATATCAACGCCAATAAATCCAAGCGAAAATACAGTCGGCCAATGATGATATCCAAGAACGGCTAGGACAGCAAAAGCTCGAAGAAGTGACACATCTTCACGGAATTCTTTTGCTAGAAAGATTTAGATTATTTAAAGTATTTTAGAACTTGTATAAAAGTTAATGAAGGTTTTTAAAACCTTAAAAAGTATCAACTAACGATTGAGATTCAATTTTCAACAAACCTGCTGCTTTTTGTTCCATTCCATACCTTGAATTTTGTTGGGGATGTGTTTTTGCAACTAAAACGATCATTTAGAGATTTCTAATAATTTCTTTAGTTTTATAAGCTTATCAAGAAGTCTTTTATGAAACCTGATAATGGATCATCGATGAAACACTTCTGATTATCTACATCTTGCTCTTCCAAAAGACGGTAATCCAATTTCGATCTCATTTATGCAAAACTGAAAGTTTATTGGATAATTTTTATGAACTGTTTAGTCTTTTTAATTATTAAATACAATATACCGTATTCTCTCTAATACTAGTGCACTCTTTAATAGTAGTGCACTTTCTAATAGTATTGCGGTTCGAGAGGGGGTTGAAAAAATAGTAGTGCACCCTCGAAAATTTGAATTTCTGGTGCATCTTTTTCATCTGAACCTTTTTGACTTTATGTTTATGTGACATTCTAAAGCTATTCAAGCAAGCAAAAGTGAGGCTTTTTTATTCATTTATTAACTATTCTTCACATGAAAAAGTTAGCAAAAAATCTCAAATTGTTGTGCAAAGTGCAAAAAAATCTTTTTGTTGTTTGTCAAGACACAAATTGTCAACACAAATTGTCAACTCGCCGGCCCACAACTGTACGTCAAAAGGAGCCAAAGGAGCACGTGAAAGAGTTGCAAGAATTTTTGGAACAAATCTTATATCTGTCTTACTTTGGTAAATGATAAAACTCTTTAATAGTAGTGCACTCTCTAATAGTATTGCGGTCCAGGAGGGGGTTGAAAAAATAATAGTGCGCACTACTATTAGAGAGAAAACGGTAAATCCAATAACTTACTTGAAAAGTCCACCGTAATCCTTTAAAAACTTTTAAGCAAAGATCATGTCTCTTCCGATTGACGATTGCTTTAAAGGGATTGTATATTTGTTTCCATGAAAAAAAAATGCCCATCTAACATCAGAAAGAGATAAATCGGGAGAGGGATCTGTCAATACAAAAATCATCCACATTTTGGGACAAATTTTCTTACAAGTTGTGCAAACAATTACAATAAAGAACCCCGTGCACAAAGCAGAAGAAGACAGACACAAAATGAGTGCGTTTTTTTTGACAAGGGCGAAGGTTACAGGATGTTGAAAGTTTTAGAATAGCAAATTGTGAATTTCCGGTGTAAAGAACACAAATCGTCCCTCAAATTGGTCAAGTAAAGTCTTTAATTCAAACACTTATAAAAGACATGACTTTTTTGGATTTCTATTTATTTCTTTTAGCTAAAGATGGCAATTTTCAAGTATGAATTGAAGTAAATAAGAAAGTTTGGCTTTTCTCTTATCAGAAATAGGGGTCTTTTGAAAAAATCTGAGTCTTTTTCAAATCTATAGTCTCCAAAAGTGAAATCAAAGATTTTTCGTGCTGATTTCTTACTTTATTGCGAAATAAAATAACATAAAACTATTAAAATAATTAAAGCTATGACTAATTTTTGATTCTTACAGTAAAAAATGAATAGGGAAGTCTCCTTTATATACCGTAGTTTCTCTAATCGTAGTGCACCCTGAGCGTCGCCTAAATTCCTCGAAAACCGTTTATCAGAACCTATCGATGTGGGGTCGGAAAATGTAGCTGACGATGAGATCTTGTTGGGGATTTGAGTGTTGAGCTTCTGCAAAAGCTTGGAAACCGTAAAATAGTCATCAACTCGGCTCGGCTGGGTGCACTACTATTAGAGAAAATACGGTACTCGTTTTGTTGGCGCGAAGGCAAGGTATGGTAGCTGGGACGCGTTAAGTGGAGAGCAGACATGGATCTCTGAAAAAGAATGCAAGTATTTCCCCTCTGCCGAGCCGAGTTGATTCCTATTTTATGGTTTCCAAGTTAACCCAGAATTCGGCTGCGCACGGGCTTTGCACTTCAAAGGGGCCACTTGTGAGGAGTATCATGTATCCAAAAGCTCCTGATTTTGAGTTTACAAAGGTCAGTAAAAGAAAAGAAAATATCTAATAGTGCACCTAGCCGAGTCGAGTTGATGACTATTTTATAGTTTCTAAGTTTTCACAGAAGCTCAAGATTCAAATCCCCCATTAGATCTCATCGTCAGCTACATTTTCCGACCTCACATCGATAGGTTCTGATAAGCGGTTTTCGAGATTTCGAGGAATTTAGGCAAGCTTAAGGTTTACTATTATTAGGCAAATACAGCTAAATACCAAATTCAAAATTATCCCCAGGATCTTCTCAAATTCGTTGGTTTCCTCTTTGGAGTGGCTTGCTTGTTTTACAACTTGCTAAACAAATTTTCAGTCGATCAATGGTTACCGTATTCTCTCTAATAGTAGTGCACCACACCGAGCCGAGTTGGTGATTATTTTACGGTTTCCAAGCTTTTGCAGAAGCTCAACACTCAAATCCCCAACAAGATCTCATCGTCAGCTACATTTTCCGACCCCACATCGATAGGTTCTGATAAACGGTTCTCGAGATTTCGAGCAATTTAGGCGACGATCAGGGTGCACTACTATTCGAGAAAATACGGTATATTCTAAAGAAAATTGCTGAAGTAGTGATTTTAAATCTCTCTAACAAGATAAGATTCTAGCTGTAAGTCTGAGATTTTGACTCTTAAGAGAACTCTAAAGCTTTTTCTCTTGTGCAAGTGGTAGCCTGGCTTTGAATTTAGCTAGTCTCCGTATTTTCCCTAAGGAAGCTAGAAAATTGGCATTTATTCTGTTTGTATTTCCCTTCTCTTTAAGGCATCACAATCCTTTAACATTAGCTTATCTTGTCTTAACAAGAAGCTGATTCATTCTCAATCTCTGCCCCGGCAATAAATGAATTAAGCTAGAAAATCTATTTATTTTGTTTTGATTTATATGGTATTGTAGCATATCGAAATAGCGAAATGAAATCAAAATATTTTCAATCAAGGCAACGAACTAAAAAAATATTCCTTTTTCCTTCCAAATTTCCGAAATAGTAATCGAAAATAAACTGAACTTAAAATTTTCAAGTTTTCTCAAAGAAATCCTAAAAATCTTTAAAGATCTTTATAGGATGTGCTCTTGAAATCAAAATTGATCTAACTATCAGCAAAAATGTCAATATTTGTCATACCCGGTTTGCGTGGTTGATTTAAAATTTGCCATTTCTATTTCTGTTTAAGCAGCTTGCGGAAATTATTTTTGGTCAAACAAGTATAGCTTTTCATCGTTCAAATGGCCTCACAAATCAAAATTCCTTTTCATTTCTTTTTGTCCCCATTTGTTAGTAGTAAAGACATCGAAAAATATGGCTTAACCGGAAGAACGCAATGGAATTTTGATTCAGATAAAGTGAGTTGAAAATTTAAGTTGGCTTCGAGTGATTGGCTTCAAGTGATTGGCTTCAAGTGATTGGCTTTGAGTGATTGGCCTCGAGTGATTGGCTTCAAGTGATTGGCTTCAAGATTGACTCTGATCTAATTTCAATTAAAGTTTTATATAGTTCTTCTGGTTAAGCTATGTTTCCCGATGTCTTTACTACCGACAAATGGGACAAATGGTAGATTTAGGGAAAAGATGGTCTGAAATCAAGATCAAGATGATCTAAAAAGACTCAAAAATACAATTGATAAGTACCAGAGTTAGTACTTGGGCTTTTACGGCACTACGGCAGAACTTTCAATCCACTTTTTATAGACTGTGTCAGTTGATTCAGGTGATTTTTTTTGTTACCTTGGTCGACTGGCTAAGCGCTTGTGTATTGTTTGTACCAGATTATTTGTGTGAATATATCTTTATACCATTCAGATTCATTAAACATTAGTTCCCGGGCAATAGTCCCGACAACATGATCCCCCAAATGTCCATAGTTACACAAGAACTTTGTCATAACATTTAGCCAGTAGCCAGCCACAGCTATGGGATAAACCTTTAGACTATTTTTATTAGGTGTGTGAAAAAGTAATCCACGTTTTTAACGTTTAAATATATTAGGTTGATGCAAAAGTCTTTTTCATTTTTTTCGTACTTCTGTTAAAAAGTAACAAATTCACCAATTAATCTATAGTTTGCTCTATAAAAAAAGTGTTTTTTTGTTCAATTTGCATCTTTTTAAATGAATTTCGGTTCACTTTCAAGCAAATTCGAGAGTGAAAAACGCCTTTTTCGTAAAAATCTATAAAAAACTCTACGGAAAAATTGGCTGAATGAATTTCTCTGAAATTTTGGCGAAATATCAAACTTTTTTTTCTCTATCTTTTATCTATTGACACGAAGATAGGTTTTCTTTAGCTAAGGTGTCTAAACCGCATCATCGAGTTAGCCCTTTTTGACTACCCGACTTCATACTCTCAAGAAAATCCAGGCATAAAATACTTTTAAACCCGTTTTAATGTTATTTTGCAGAAAAATAATTGGTTTTTCTAATGAAATCAACCGTAGTTTAATTGGTGCATTTGTTGGCTTGAAACGGCAGACGAAAGAACAAAAGACATGCATCAACCTAATAGATTGAACTTATCGCGGACGTCCGATTTAGATTACAGTCTATGTCGAACGTCCAATTTAGATTCAATCTAAATCTTATATAGATTGAACAATAATATAAACATGCTTAATATATGTTCTTAAGCGTTTTCTGTAGTTCTGCAGAAAAATAATTGGTTTTTCTAATGAAATCAACCGTAGTTTAATTGGTGCATTTGTTGGCTTGAAACGGCAGACGAAAAAAATGAAAAAGACTTTTGCATCAACCTAATAAAAGACCATAAGTCTCGTTAAAATAATTTTTATTCAACGAAGTAATCACCATTCGAAAGAACAACCTTTTGCCAACGTTCTACAAGTAAAGACATTCCACGATAATAAAAATCTTGGTCCTTAGAGGCGAAGGAAAGATCAACCTCGGTTTTGACATCTTCTTCGGAATTGAACCGTTTATTGGCCAAAAAAGTTAGACAGAGACAAAAATAAATAATAATCAGATGGAGAAAGGTCTGGACTATAAGGTGGATGTGGTAAAACCTCCCATCCAACACTCTGGATTTTTTGTCGAGTCTGTAAAGAGACATGTGGTCGCGCGTTATCGTTCATGCGGTATCCATTTG